TAAATTCTCAACTTAAAGACATGTATTTTGGGAAATTTTGGGAAACTTCGGAAATTTTCAAGAAATTTTGGAAGTTTTCAGAAATTTTTGGGAATTTTTGGGAAATTGTAGGAAATTTTGATAGAATTCAACAAATTTCGGGAAATTATGTAATTTTTTTTAAATATTAATTTTTCTCGATCTGATTCTCTTACCCTTTCCTTACACTTCTCTTACCGTTTGAATAAAATAAATGATCCCAAATGAGAATTTTCTTTAATGGATAAGAGAATGGGACGGGAAATTTTTAAAAATAGGTATGGGAGGGAACCAGGTACCTGTTCTAAAATTTTCAGGGCTACTACTATCTAGTCCTGAAAATTTTGGGATTCGAGAAGGGAATTTTTGGGAACGAGAAATTTGGGAATTGAGAAATGATTTCCATAAGGGAATCTGGCAAAAATAGAGCGGGAAACTGTGGATACGAGATGGGAATCAACGGGTACGGGACGGGAACGAGAATCCCAAACTCTCAACTTAAAGACATATATTTTGGGAAATTTTGGGAAATTTCAAGAAATTCTGGAAATTTTTGAGAATTTTCGGGAAATTGTAGAAAATTTCCATAGAATTCAACAAATTTTAGGAAATTATGTAATTTTTAAAAATATTAATTTTATAAACTGGAATTCGGGTTTTGGATCTGATTTTCTTACATTTTTCTTACTCGTTTGAATAAAATAAATGATTCTGAATGAGAATTTTCTTGAAAGGGAAATTTAAACTGGGTACACAAGGGAACCGGATACTCGTCCCAAAATTTTCAGGGCTACTACTATCTGTCAGGTAATAAACAGACCTGCAACGAGTCACAACATGATGAAAAGGCTCAAGCATGGTGTGAGTCAGACACAGAGGAAGATGGAGAATGACAAACCTTTGTGATCACACATATATCCACATTGCTACCTTGTGTCTTCATCATCAATCATCTATTGAGAATCCGAAAGAGAAACACAGGGGCGTAGGCACTAATCATATCATAGTTCATTAAGAGCTAATAAAAAGCAACAACAATTCATACTTTCATGTTCCCACCAAACATTCTCAGAATAGTTAGAGCAATCAAATTGTTATATGAAGCTACCAGGTGCTTAATCCATTGATATTTGTTAGCATTTACACTAATCCAAACACACAAAAGCTATGAAACCAAACACATAGCCTATATTGATGTAGGATTGAAGATGCTTCAATCTTTACACTTCTTGAAAATCCTTGCTTTGAGCTAGAGTTGATAGAATGAGTAGCTTGATGGTTGATAAGCTGGTTGTGCTTGATGACCACAAACACAAAAGGTTAGACTTTAGTTCTTCAAAGGCTAATCCTCACAAGAATAACTAGATTCTACACGAAATTCTTCAAGCTTGATTCCACAAACACAAGAAGATAATTCGGTGGAACAATTTGGGTAACTTGAATAGCTCCGAATATGTACATGTAGGTCCATATGTTGAATTTGGCGGTTCTCCCTTGGTTTGAATCAAGTAACTCCGGTTTCTGGATTATATATTAGCTTGTATATATTCTGAAGTCTTCTGATGATATAGAATAAAGGGGTGGGTCGAATGAAATGTGTTGCTTCCCCAAGTTTCCTTAATCGGCTCTAATAATGCTCCATTTGGTGGTTTAAGTAGATTTGGCGGTTTATGGTGATTCTCATCTATTTTTATTGAAGCTGGACATGGTTTAGCTTGGTCAGGATGTTCTCTTGGACATATGGAACACTGGCGTTTTGATTTAAAGTCCTTAGCTCCTTTGCAATCAGCTACAAGTCTCCCTTGCTCCTTATCTTCAAGCAAAACAGGTTCTAGCTCCTCTCCTTTGTGTTTCTCCTTGATATAAGCATTGATGCTTACATCATACTCTCCCTCTTGAAGAGTTTTTGTCTTCAAAACATTAATACCTGCATCAAACAAAGCTAAGTTAGTTTTTAGAAAATTTGCAGAGTTTAAAAACTTACCTTGTTGCTTCTTTGTTTCAATGGGCATTAGATGGTCTAATAGAGAGACAAATAGAATGTCTTTAGCTTCAGTAAGCGCCAATGTTGATCTCAGCTGAAGTATGGGAGTTTTCTCTGCCTTGTATTCCAAGTTCTCATGCTGGTGTACCACGTTCTTGGTCCTTTGCACTTGCTCTTTAATGGCATTGGCTTGTAAATCATGGTTTGTTGCTTTGTAGTTAAAGAAACTTCTTGGGTAAAGTTGAGGGATTTTTGGTACTAAATCCTTTGGTGCATACATATCCCTTAGTAATGCTTTGAGATCTCCCCAGGTTGTTATGGTTGGCTCCGTGTAGAACCAGCGGTCATCTTCTTCTTGCAACTACCATTTATAAACATCTCTAGCAAGTTGGCCAATTGCATAAGCTAATCTCTCCTCTTTCAAGACGTTGTTGTAGTAGAACCATTCATCTATGTTTCTTTTCTGCTTTAGATAGTTTTCTTTGCCTGAAAATGCATAGAGTTGAAGTTTATTAGTAGATTGATAATCAGAATCAAAATAAACTTTAGAATTGAGAACATGAGAGGTTTTAGGTGGGTTGCTCCATTTTGAACTCCATGAGTTATCTGTCTGCTTAAGATGCTGCTCTTCAAGGCCTACAGATTCTTCATATTCTCCTTGTGATTAGTCATTTTCAGTTATTTACTCTTCCATGGAGTTGCTTTCCTTATAGTCTTCTCCCCATTCATTTTCTTTTTATTCATACCATCTCTTGTAGCTTCAGAGAGTTTTGTTGTGGTCTGGTGGTTCAGGCTCAGGATCATGACCATAGTAAATTTCGTCCTCAGTCCATGGTGGGAATTTATAGCCAGCCTCCTCTTCAAAAAAGGCAAGACTCTCTTCTTCTTGACTCCATTGGTCATTGAAGGGTTGATAAGGGCTCTCCTCATCTGAATACTCCATTGATGCTTCTGCTCTTTTTTTTTTCTCTAAGCTTTCCTAGCAAATAAGATCAAAGGAAATGTATCAAATATGTAAAAGAAAAAAAAATATTTTTATGTGGTTTTTCTGATTTAATAAAATAAAATAAACAAGTAAATGCAAAACAAATAGTTTAAACAATTAAGACCAGTTGAAAGAAAATTATTTTAAAAATTAGCAAATGATTTGAAAATTCAAAAGAGATATTTTTATGGTTTTTAGGAGTTTAATTAAACCAAAACAAGAAACAAAATATTTTTATGGGTTTTTTTGTTTTTATAAAATTCAAGCAAAACAGATAAACAGAAATAACAATTCTTTTGGGTTTTTGGATTTATATAAAACAAAACTTTAAAAACTGTATGAAAAATTAACAAAACTTGAAATAAAGATAAGAATACACCTGAGATAGGAGCTCTTAGCTCTGATACCAATGATGTAGGATTGAAAATTCCTTAATCTTTACACTTCTTGAAAATCTTTGCTTTGAGCTAGAGTTGATGGAATGAGTAGCTTGATGGTTGATAAGCTGGTTGTGCTTGATGACCCCAAACACAAAAAGTTAGACTCTAGTTCTTCAAAGGCTAACCCTCACAAGAAGAACTAGATTCTACACGAAATTCTTCAAGCTTGATTCCACAAACACAAGTAGATAATTCGCAGGAACAGTTTGATTTAGAAAGATAAACTTCTTTGATACAAATAAAAATTTTCTTGATTATAACTTAGGTAACTTTGAAAATACAAATGTTTGAGCTTATATAAGGCTCTAACTTAGGTAAATACGATCATAAACTTTAAAAACAAAGCAAAGAAAGAGGCATAAGTGATGGAAAATGTTAACTAGCCATTTGGCTTAAATGGGGATGATCTTGACTTGGGCGCTGAAAGGGGGATTGTTGATGGGTCTTTGGCACGAAATAAATATGCTAAATCTTCTAAAGATGATAGAGGGTTGAGATTGAGTGAGAGATGTGGTCGTTGGTTTTTTTTTTTCCATCTTTTCTCCTTAAAATAATAAAAGTGGTTATATCTTTGGCAAGTGCTTCTTTGATGATATCTCCTTGGTTTTGAGCTGGTTTAATGTGGTTAATGGCTTGATCTGGCGGTTTAAAAATTTTGGTAAACTCTATAAACCTCAAAGGAAGCGTGAATGAGATGTTAGTATAAGCTATGCTCCTTGTTTCCTTCAATAGCTCTGAATATGTACATGTAGGTCCATAAGTTGAATTTGGCGGTTCTCTCTTGGTTTGAATCAAGTAACTCCGGTTTCTGGCTTGTATATTAGCTTGTATATCTTCTGAAGTCTTCTGATGATATAGAATAAAGGGGTGGATTGAATGAAATGTGTTGCTTTCCCGAGTTTCTTTAATTGGTTCCAATATTGCTCCATTTGATGGTGTAAGTAAATTTGGCGGTTTAGGGTGATTCTCATCTATTTTGATTGAAACTAGACATGGTTTAGCTTGGTCAGGACGTTCTTTTCAACATATGGAACACTAGCGTTTTGATATAAAATCCTTAGCTCCTTTGCAATCAGCTACAAGTCTCTCTTACTCTTTATCTTCAAGCAAAACAGATTTTACCTCTTCTCTTTTGTGTTTCTCTTTGATATAAACATTGATGCTTACATTATATATATTTTAAAGTATTGTGAGAATCAAAGACACACAAACCTGGAAAGTCAACCCAACGATAGTTGTTCTAGTCTTGAGAAACCCTTTTGTATAAGCATGTCGTTTCTTTTGCATCGAAGCTGAGCCCACCACTCTAGAAATCAGGAAAATTTGAGAAACATATGATCCTGAAAATTCAACATGAAACCAAATGTTCTAGAGAATTTACAAATATTTCTCTCAAAAACTCTAATCCCAATTTGATTTTGATACGATCTCGGACAAGAGTTTTTTGGGCTTGAGAATTGAAGAAAATGATCGAAGCCCAAAGTCATGATTATCTTAGTTTATTTACAATCCATACCATTGTCTTCTACGTTCTGTATTTAGGCTTTTTTTTTTTTTGGTTTTTTGTAAAAGTCATCACGTTATTGATCAATCAAACACTAGAGTGGCGTCTCCTTAATCAGCGATTATCTTTTTCCTCTTTCTTCTATTTTCATCTTTTCTTCCTCATACAACTCTATTTTTCTATCTTCTCATCCTCATCTCTGATTTATCTTCTTGGATAGAAATCGGTTCTATCAATTGGTTCTTTCATTGAGAGCTTTTGAGGATGGGTTTTTCAGAACTCAGTACAGAACTGGACAGATCCACAGAGCGACTAAGGAAGACGATGCTGGAGTATGCTCTGAGACAAAACGATGACCTCAAAGAAGAATGATTAATATTCTCAAGGGACGATTTGGAGAAGACTATGATCGAGAGTATCTGCCCCAACAGCTGTCTAAAGAACAGCTCAAGAAGACGCCTGAGTACCAGCAAGCGAAGACAGCAATTGTGGAGCCTGTGAGACAACCTAAAGAGCTCAAACCGATGGAAATTCCAAGGAAGCCTCTGAAGAATTTCATCGAACACTTGGTGGACGAGTCTCCAGATGAAGTTTCTGCAGAATCCGAGTCTGTGAAGGTTACAAAAGTGAGAGATCTCCATGGATACATTGGATTGAAAACAATGGATGTCAATGGCTTTGAGGTTTTGGCTTCCCAGGTAAATAAGAGGATTCATCTTCTATTGTTATCATTAGTGAGAAAGTTCTAACCTGAAACCTAAATTTATCTTCTGTGTACATCTGTTTTGACTCGCAGGTAGAATCTGTGAGACATATATTCCAAAGACACCCAGACATTGCGGCTGAGTTCCGTGCAAAGAACCAACGTATGAGGAAAGCGTGTATGAGTTTCCTGCTGAGCGTAATAGAGACGTCGTGCCAGTCACTTGAGGAGCTCTCCAATGAAGATCTTGTGGAAGCAGACATTGCGATTACATACTTGAAAGACGCATGCTTCAAGGTGGATTGGTTAGAGAAGAAGCTGAACCAGCTAAAAGATAACAAGGAGAAAGAGAAGTCTGGTTTGGCTCGGCTCCAAAAAATAGAGGAAAATCTGTTGAATCTGAAGCTACAGTGGTCAGAGATGGACCATCTTGCATAGATGGACCATCTTGCAGAGATGATGATACAATTAAACGTAACTTCAAAATGATCAATGAAATCAAATGAATCTGATGTTTTTAAAACAACGATTCATGAACCTTAAGAATCCAAAACAAGAGAAAAGGATCTTCGATGAATTACAGAGAAGAGAACGAGATGAAGAAGGTGAACTCGTACAACAAATTTCTGATTATTGGTTTGTCTTTCCTCCGATCCTTTTAACGATCAAGCTTAATTACTTTTGATCACAGCCGTTGATCCCCTTTTAATCCCAGCCCTCTATCATCTCTTAATCATCCTCTCTTATTTCCTATAACAAATCCTCCCTGTTTAGAAAACCTTGACCTCAAGGCTTATATGAAAAGCTTCACCAGGATCCCAAATTTGGTTGACTTGAAGCAAAGAACTTAAATGTTGCTTAGCTATACCAACTCTAACCGAGAAAGAATTGTGATGTTCAGTCATTGAAGAAGTCGGTAATTTTGCTTTTGTTATAACCAGCGAATTAAGCTTGTTCTGCACTTCTCCTTCCATAGAAATCTTCAACGCATCCTTCACAAAAAACTTTAGCCTCCACAGTGTTGGTTTTTCCAGAAAATCTTCTATATAGTCATGGTAAAATGTTTGCAAACCCCATCTCCACTGTACTTGAATCTTCTGAAGACTTAACCTCAGTAGTCGATCACATTGGTAACATTTAGACCTCCACTTGTGCTTCATGTGAGACATCTCATCACTACAGCCGTAGCTCTGTTCTACTAAGAGAGTCAGGACAAAAGCACTCAGGAAAAGCTTGCAAACTGAACTTAATTCATCCATTGATATACCAGCTGTGATGTCAACACCAAAGCCCAAACAAGAATGTGATCCATAGCAATGACGCCATTTGATAAACAGATTGTTTTACTGGTTTTTATCAAATCCCCAAACCAAGATAATGATGTAGTATAGTGGTGAGGGGTATCAATCCAGCCTAGGTTGATGAAAGCCACTAAGAATGCAAGAGCTAAGCAAATCTAAGTCAGACTCGGGTAAATGGATGAGAAATTCTATAAAAACTAAATGCAAGTGCTAAATGACTAAGAAAAATATTTTAAAATCCCCTTTAGAGGGTTAAACAACTACTAGATGAACTCTAAGGATTTAAAATGCAAGACAACTAATTATTAAAAATCGAACTCTAAAGGCAGATAAACAGAGAAATTTCTAACAACTTAGAACAATGATTTTAAAGACTAAAGAAAAAAACTTTATGACTAAGAAATGATAACTTTGAGTTTTAAAATGCTAAAAAAGGATTCAAGGTTGAGGATCATGTTAAGAAGGTTCAAGATTCAAGCTTGAGTTTTGAAAACATTAGATCTACACATTTTGTGCTATCTCTAAGCCTTGAGAAGCTAAAAGAGGTTTATCCATGGCGTTTGGTATAAACCCTTTCCTCAACCCTTCCTCCTAATCCATGGCGTGTGGTGGAAAGATGGATCAATGAACATTAAGCATAGATCTCAAATAATGGCCTAACTAGCTCCCTAAGCATCCATGGCGTTTGGAAAGGATGAGCTAGTCTCTTGGATTTGGTTTTAAGGAATTCCTGAATCCTGTCAAGGTAATGATATCCCTGAGATCAAAGAGATTTTTCCCAAGACTCTCTAAGCATTAAGAGCCCAAATACAAGAAGAGAATAGATTAAGAACAAGAAAAGTCCCAAGCTTAAACCCTTTAAACCCTTCTTAATCGCCCCAACCTTAAACCCAAGGAAAACTACTCACTACTCATGATTAAAACTGATGAAAATGCAAAGGATGAAAAATCAAACATGATTAAACTAGTAAGCAAGAAGATTAATCGAAAAATACTTAAGATTAAGCAAGATTAAGAGTTTGCAAAACAAGAAAAGCTTGAAAAGTAAAGCAATGGCGATTTTCAGCCTTAGTGCATAAGAAAACATAAACTAGAAAGAGACCCAATGAATGGTTCACAAATTATCGCCCAAAATAGCCAAACAAAGAAAATGGTCCCCTCACTAAAATTCAAAAGTGAGCTGTCCGGATAAGGTTCTAGAGATCGACTTGGGTAATCGATCTCTAGCTCGATCTTCTTCGTGGATCATCTTCCTTTGCTCGATCACTGGGTCGATTTGGTCAGGTGGATTGAGTGCTTCAGTCGATCTTCTTGTCGATCCTCGGATGATCGAGTTGTGAGCTCGATCTAGCCCTCGTTCTGCATGGCTTAGTCCACGTCCGTACTCATGATCGATCACCTTGGTCGATCTTGGTCTCGATCCTCCTTCTTGAAACGACCCCTTTGTCTCGATCTTCTGGTCGATCTCATCTTGATCGACCTGCCTAGCTCGATCCTCCCTCGATCTCGGTTCCTTTGCTGAATGGCTGAGTTCTTCCAAGTGTCCACAGGCTCCCTCTCGATCTTTAGCATGTCCACGCAACCTCCATAGCTCCAGTGTATCCAAAACAACCTGAATATGATGCAAGAATGCAAGAAATATGCAAATGCTAATGCAAAGTGCACTTAGGACCTAAAATGAGACGAATGGTGCAAACCTAGCCTATTATGTAAGATGAATGCATGAAAACTACTCTAAATACATGCTAAATATGCGAAATATATGAGTATATCAATTCCCCTAAATTTGTCTTTTGCTTGTCCTCAAGCAAACAAAATTTAAGAAAGGAAGAGAGGTTTAAAAGTGGGAGCTCAAATTTCCAAAAGTGTTTCAGCAAATGAATCAATTCAATGGTCATAGTTCTCAATTCTAAGATGCAATGCACAAACTCATACTCCAAAGCTCTGATACCTTTGATACAATTAAACGTAACCTCAAAATGATCAATGAAATCAAATGAACCTGATGTTCTTAAAACAACGATTCATGAACCTTAAGAATCCAAAACAAGAGAAAAGGATCTTCGATGAATTACAGAGATGAGAACGAGATGAAGAAGATGAACTCGTACAACAAATTTCTGATTATTGGTTTTCTCTTTCTTCGCATGTTTTATCCTCGCTCCTCATATTGCTTCATCTCAGCCATCCACTCTCATTTAATCCTGACCGTTTAAGCCATCACTGCCACATCACTTGTACTATAACAGATGGAGAAGTCAGAGTTGTCAGCCACCAGAACTGCTCTGTCTTTCGATGATCTTGTTTGATGACTTCAGTTTTTAGGCATTTGGTTTCAAAATAACAGATTCTCTCTTAGGGGTAATTAAACTTGTGTTGTTGATGATCTATCAAAATTTCGGTTACCACATCTGTTTTCGTTTTCCTATATAAAAAAGTTGTGCATGAAACAGAGGATTTTGGAGAGTTCATTGACTATGTAGAAAGTTTGTCATGTTTCGCTTATGAATCTATCTTCTTATAGAACTGGATGAAAAGAACAAAAGTCTATCATTTTTGTAACTGTAATTAAGCACGCGCGATCACAAAATAGTGGCACTTGTCGAGAGACAAACTTGCCCCTAGGACCCTTTGCCAGAAGGAATATAGACCGGTCTGTAATCACTTGGGTTTTTTGGTTAAGCAAACTGTATAGCCCCGAGCCACAATGTCCCACGAGTTGTTGTTCTAACCATATTCAGCAACGGTATATATACTCGTGTTGTGAGTACTAATTATCCGATGTGGGATCAATTAAAGATTACGCCATAAGGGATTGTAGTTAACACATGCTACTCTCACGTGCTCCTCATTAAACTAATTTCCCCAGATACTCTGATTAGAAACCCTAATTTTAACTACCCCAGTCCGGTAATCAGCAAACTATGTGACTGCGAAAATAAAAAGAGTGATAACATCAAGAACCTCCTATGAGTTTAGAGAATGATGCTAGTTTTACCCACGCACACGCCGTAGACCTCCTTGTGTTGTTTCTTGGCGCCGAAGAAACCGTCTATAGAGGCCTTGGTCTTACCTCTACCTACAAGTTCTTTAGACAATGTTTTACAATATGACCTTTTAAATTAACCAAATTATTTTTTATATAAAATGTATATTTTTCCTATTTAAAATTATTAAATTTATCAATCTTCTATAAATGAGAACTCTTACAATTTGCTAAACTAATAGAATATACCACAATCAATTTTATAAACATTATTTATACAAAAATGTAAAACAAAACCATGAAACATGATTAATAAGGTAAATAGTACATGATCTAAAGATTTTAAAAAAATGAAACCTATATAAAGATATTAAATAGCAAGACAAACATCATAAATAATCTTTCGAGATACAGATTGTTTGTATCATTGTATTACTTTATTTTTAACAAGGGAAAGATCTTTGATTTACGATCCTAGTTTCTTGAATTTATACATTTCGTAAAAATACATTTAGATAAAAATCACAAGTTGCAAAGGATCAAGACAGCACACATCATGCAAAGATGAATGGCTTACAATCGTTTTATAGAAACAGTACATATTGACAAAACAGAAACAAGATTTATTCTTGCAATATACAACTTAATACACACAGAATCAAACAGAAAACAAAAATATAAACTTGAGATTTAAACGAAGTATATAAGGATCATTTACAATGCTCAAGCAAACCGGTTCCTTTGAATTTCTCTTCCATCAATCCATCGATGCGAGCTGCCATCTCCGGAGTCAGATAGTTCTGCCAATCTCCGACCTTTCCTTTCCTGAAAAATGCGCTATTCGGATAAGCACTAATAGGAACGTCCTCTCTGTGTTTCTCCCCTTTGTTTGCTTCAAGGTTCTTCAACGTCTCAAAGCTACAAAGATTCACCACTTCCTCATCAACCCCTTTCTTCTTTTCCTCAGATGTGAATCCATATCCCATAAACTCAGCCAATCTTCTCACGTAAGGCAAAGGATCAGCCCTCATCGTCTCATACTTGAGGAACAAAATCTGGTTTGGATTCTCTTGGTAAGCTTTCCAGTACGACATGACATGATCTAGATACGGTCCGTACCAAGAAAAACCTTGACAGAACATATCAAAACACTCCTCAAGACTATTGAGTGGGCCATTTTCAGACTTTTCTTTTTGTAGGAAACTCCACATGGATATAAAGGTGTCCTTTGGGTCTCTCCAGATATAAACCATCTTACAGCCCGATTTCGAAATCGATTCAGGTAATAACCCGTGCGGCATATGAGTCGAGAACAGAGTGTTTCCTTTGTTCTTGAGAACATCAAGATGAGGGCAGTAAGCGAATTCCATCTCAATATAAGGAACAAGCTCATGAGGGTTCCGCTTTAGAAGAGGGTTCGAAGAATGCTCGAAGTGAGATCGATTAGCGATGGCGAAAGTTAGAGCTTTGAGCCAGGTGGTACCTGCCTTTGGGTTGGTACAAACTAAAAAGTCAACGGGTCGCGCTTGGAAGAATTCTTGCGCGTAAAGGCAGCCTTCAAGGAGAGGCCGTATTATCCAGTGGCCACCGTAGCCGATAAGGGGAGCATTCACGAACCAGCCTTTCACATGCGGAAAGGTGGCGATTAGATCTTGGTACCGTTTCTGATTCTTCTCGAACTCTGTTGACCCTTTCTTGGTGTTGTCTTGAATCGGTACACTCCTGTCTATCAGGGTTTTGGATTCCATTGGAGATAGAAAAAGAGGATTTGAGGACTCGTATTGTGTTCCGTGGGAGATTTTTTCTTCTGATGCCATGTAGAAGGCGTGCTGATACATATTCATTTCCATGAAAAAATATATACGCCCAGAGATCGACCTCGTGTAGAGACTAAAATGTCCGGACAAAGATTTAGTTACGTGTTTATTCATGATGCTACTTTTACCCAGGTGTTATTAATAGGTCAGAACCTCAAATGGCGCCTATCCTTGTTCGTGTCATAATCTCAGCCATCAGATTATCAAACCAAAGTGTTACAAGGAAATTTATGATCATTTGAGGTGTTTCATATTATGATCCTACAAAATAAATGATATTCTCCACAACTGTAAAATAAGCAGTAAATTTATTAATATTCTATAAATGAGAACTCTTACAAATTTGCTTAACAAATAGAATATACCAATCGTTTTTATAAATACTAGTGTTTTGTCCATGCTACGTGTAGATTGTATAATTATATTGTAGTTTTATAGAAGGTTGTCAGTTAATTTTGTATTTAATATTATGATAAATTATAAAATAGTATATTTGCATGTGATTCTTAGATATAGTCGAGTGAAGGAAATATAAGAATATATATATATATATATATATATATAAAGATGAATGAAATTTTTGTATAATAATTTGAAGGTAGATTAATGTATCTTATGGGTTAGTTGAATTTATTTTAAGATTTAATGCATGTTTTTACAAATATGAAGGATAAAATTTAACCATTTTTATATAATAATTTGATTTCTTATATTTTATTTATTTATGTGAATAGTATCTACATGAATTATATATTATATTAGAAATCTATTGTCTAAATTTGGACATCTTACGTTATAATGTCATTTTTTTAGTGAACACCATGAATATTCTTTTACACTTTCATAAACTTTTTGCATAACCTTCTCTTTCGTTTGATGATTTTAAAAAGAAAAACTCAATCCTTACTCCATTTTTATTTCATATTGTACGTTAGAATTTTATTTATATTTTTCATATAATATGCATTTCTCTACTTATCAATTTTTAAAGATCTAGTGTGTACATATATGTTTTATAATTAGAAGAAACCAAATGACAATAAATAACAAACTTCTTTGTTATATGAGTTATTTATTAATTGATAAGCTATTTGTTTGATAGTTTAGCTAGCTCGATCATCTGCCAATATTGGTGAATAGTGTGGAACTTTATAGTTATATGTTATTTGAAAAAAAGACTTTTCAGTTTTATATTTCATGAACTTTTGCAAATGAGATTAAGAAACAGTTAGTAACTGTCTTCAATCATATATTGTACCTTAGGATTTGTTTCATAAATTTTTTTATTATACGACTAATTGTTATAGTTATATATGGTACCTTATGATTTTATTTTTAATTTCTATATATTATGCATTTCTCTACTTATCAATTTTTAAAGATTTAGTGTGTACATAGATGTTTTATAATTTGTTCATATACTCAACGAAGAAAATAAATGGTAATTAATAATAAATTTATTTATTATATAGGTTCTTTATTAATTGATATAATATTTATTTGATAGTTTAGCTAGCTCGATCATTTGCCAATATTAGTGAAGAGTCTAGAACTTTATAGTCATATATTTTTTTCTAGAAGAAAGATAACCGAGTCACTCCTCAAGTTTTTCTTTTGGCGAGAAAGACGTTCTCCAGCTCCAGTATTATTATGAGTGAGACTCATTCTTGTTCGACTCACATTATAAATATAAATGCAAAACAATTGTGAGATTGTATTTATATGTTGCTTAGAGCTGTGTATTATTTATACCATATATGGTTCATCGCTATGTCTTTTTTTTCTTTCTTTATTTGACATCTTCATTGCTAGGTTTTTTGGATTTTACTTATTTGTGGTCCATTTATTTAAGCTTTATTGTTTATTGCTAGTTTAGTTGTCATTAATTACAAATTAAAGTTTGTGTTTAGTAACGGTTGATTCCGTTTCTGGTGAGTTAGAGGCGAGAAGATTAGAAATCGAGAAGATGATAACTCCATAAAATAAGCTTTTGTTTAGCTTTATAATTGAGTTTCAGTGTAATTCATTTTATTAGTTTTTTTTTTTGGGCTTCAGTTTTTTTTTCTGAGAATTTAGTAATTATGAAAGTTTTTTGTGGTCAGAATTTGAAGAAGTTTTGATTAATAAATTATTTAATAAAATGACTTTAAGTTATTGGTTGAAGAAGATGACATAGCAGTTTTGGAATCTATCATTGGCTGATTATTTTTGCTAATGTGGCAGCCCTTAGAAGCCTTGTTTCCCATTTATATAAAGGAAATCTTATTAATAATAAGTTGGATTCATTCATAAAATCACCGCATAAAATGAATCATTCAATTCAAATTTTGATTCGATTAAAAAAGTTTTTTAAAAAAAAACGAAAGGATATAGCTTAATTTAAAAAAAGAAAATAATCTTAAATACTAATCTTAAAAGGAAAAAATATTATATAAAAAAATAAATATTTTAATTTGAAAAAAAAGAAAATAGTCTAAAACACTAATTATTTTATAAAAAAATATATTACTATGATTCGTTCACTATTTCAATTTTTTATATTTTATTATTCGTTTGTTAAATATATTATTCATCTAAAGTATTTCTAATATTCAATAATTAGACAATTTCAAAAAGAAAGTACATGTAAAATTTGCAATGTATTATTATCACAAAGGAAATTCTATATGCTATTGATATATTATTTGACGATGATGAGCTCATTAAGAAGAATGATCAACAAAAATTATGTAAATTTTTTTTAATGTGAGTCTTGAGAAGCATAACTTCTCTGGAAAACAAAGTGATTATATACATAAAAAAAAGAATTTTTTTTTATTTGGAAAAAGCTAATAAGAAGAGAATTTCAATTTGATTAGCTCAGTATTTCTAAGAAGTCAGCACAGATAAAAGCCAAACTTGAAGAACACAGCACCATTCAAAGAAGCCAGAGCACCATGAAAATATCAAAGACGATCCAAGCATAAACACTATGCATTATTGATATAAGACTCGGTAAAGGAGACTTATATGATGTAGAAGGGGTGAAGTGATGGAGTTAATACGCTGGCTGTGTCGCTCTTTCGTATGGACAGATAGGTGAAGATTGTAGAGCAAGACTTGATGAACAAGGCTTGAGCTGAGATGGGATCTATCAAGTTGGCTTTAATGCTCTTTCTTGAGCGATCAGTGAATGGTAAATGAAGTGGAATGATGGCACCAGAACGAGTATGAAAGGCTCTCTGATACAGCAACACTCAATGTCTTGTGTGCGCTTGACGAGGTGTAGAATTTGCCGATGATATCTAGGCCCCATTTCATGAATGGCCAGGGGGACCTGACGCTTTTGAGGTTCTCGGGCGGCAGGTGCGGTACGTTGGAGAAGTAGGCACTGGTTACACTATTGTGCGAATCTTATCGTGTCAGCTCTCAAGTATAGCCAGTAGAACCCTACCCCGAGGTCCCTTTGCGTGAGCGTTCTTCCTCCTGAGTGTGCCCTGCATTTGCCTTGATGGACCTCCTTCAGGACGTGCTGGCCTTCGTACAGGCTTATGCATCTGAGGGTGGCGCCGATATATGACTTCTTGTAGAGTTGTCCTCGTGAGATGGTGTAGCGTGACGCCTGCCTCCGCACCTTTTCCACCTCGCGAGCATTTTCTGGGAGCTTTCTTTCGCGGTGGTAGTCCCAGATGGACTGCATCCAGCCTTTATAACCTTCTATGTGGTTGACTTGGACCAGGCTTTCATCTTCTATGGCCAGGTGAGCTGGCCATTGTAGGTGAATGACTGGGATGCTGTCCTTCAATATCTCGGTTAGGGAGGATCCCAGCTTTGCTAGAGCGTCAGCAGTACTATTCTGCCCCCGTGGGATTCTCTCTGATCGGATTGTCGGGAATTGTCTCATGGCTTTCTTGATTGCATCTAGGTAGGCGGTCATGCGCGCGTCTTTTGTTTGGTACTCGCCGCGGACCTGGTTCACGATTAGCTGGTATTCGCTATATAGGACGATGTCCTTGGCTCCAAGGTCATAGGCGATGTCTAGCCCGACTAGGACAGCTTTGTATTCTGCTTCGTTGTTTGTGGCGCTGAGCCTGCATCGGAATACTCTGTGTGCTATGCCTCCTTTCGGGGAGATGAGTACCACACCCAGTCCTGCGCTCCGGAAATTGCTGGCTCCTTCGACGAATAGTATCTAATTTTCTGATGGGAGGAGCGTCTCTACCTGTGCGCCGGCATCGTCATTTGTAGGCGGCTGTGTGAAGTTGGCTAGGAAATCCACGAGGGCTTGTGATTTGATGGTGGTGCACGCGACATACAGAATGTCAAATGGTCCTAATTCGACGGCCCGCTTCATCAGCCTTCCCGAGGATTCGAGTTTACTCAGCACGTTTTTGAGCGGTGTCGCGGTGACCACGTGGATGTGGTGGGACTGGAAGTACAGGCGGAGTTTCCTGCTGCTGAGTATGAGCCCGAGTGCCAGCTTTTCTAACTTCGAGTAACGTGTTTTGGCGTCGAGCAGGGTGTGACTCGTGTAGTATACCAGGAGTTGTTTGCCCGAGACTTCACGGACTAGCACAGAGAATGCGGCACCACCCGAGACCACTAGATATAGTAGTAGAGGCTCTGTTCACCGGTTTTGATAGGACCGGGGTGGTGGTGAGGTAGTCTTTCAAATTCTGCAGAGCTTCTCCGTATTCTGTTGTCCTTTCGATTGGTTCGAATATTCGCATCTGTAGGAAGAAGGGATGCACTTTATTGGATAGCCGGGAGATGAATTGGCTGAGGGCGACAATTCGTCCGACAAAACATTGCACTTCTTTGACATTCTGCGGCGGCTCGAGCTCCTGGATGGAGCGGATCTGGTCTGGGTTTGCCTCGATGCCTCGCCTAGTTATGATCTACCCCAAGAATTTCCCAGAGGCCACTCCGAACGTGCACTTGGCCGGGTTGAG